CTTTTTGTGTCATCCCCATTCTCTCCATAATACAACAACATTGCAAGTCTCCAAATAGGAGACACTATGTGTCATTTTTTTTGTATATTATACAAGAATGATGTAAAACCTAAAAATCCGCTGTAGTGTATGTGTGTGATTATGTGCATGCTCTGATCACATGTAGTCATGACATCATTGGTTAGTATTATAAGTAGGTGCAGCTGTGTTCATTACAGTCGCTGTCATTTGTAACTCAAGCTTGTAAAAGAGAGTCGTTATATTTTCCCAAGCTGGATGTATGCGCAGGGCTTGCGTGCTGCCTAGACCTAACATGTGAAAATGTGAGTGGAAACATGCGACTGTCTACTTGAAGAAGAAGGATAATTATAATAATGACACGATAATCGTGAAATCGCGTATGAGCGGATCCTCGTGTCCAAAATTTGCAGGGACGTATGTAACTTTTGGGCATATGTATAATTATGTAGATATGGACCCGTGAGTGATATTTTGTGTATTTTTATAGCTAGGTGTTTTCGCCGAGTTGGTGTTTCATACGTGAGATTTGACCTGTGCCATTCCTACATATAGCGTCAATAGATAAAACCTCAGTGAAAAAAGTGTGATACATCATCATACTCTTACATAATTATAAGTGCACAATACCTTACTATTACAACTCCCCGCGAAACAAGAAATTCCACAACAAAAAACAAAAACATCAACAATTAATAATTATACATTGTCCACAACACACGAACTAAATCCTGCAAGAAACAGAAAATAGAATGTAAGTTTTTCGATGAAAATAAACGGAGTATAAAAGACGTACCTTTTTCTCAGTCTCCATCGACTGATCTTTGATTTCGAACTGAAACTGTTTGAAAAAGAAAAACGTGACACCATGCATGTTACATCATCTATACGTGTAGAATGCTCCATGGTGCTATACATTGCTCATGGTGTACATACACACAGTGCAGGTTGAAAAGAACACGTGATGTTACTCACATTTCTATCTCCATGCACCTGTCCTTCATCACATGAATGGTGCTTCGCTCAAATGTACCTGAAAGAAAATAATGATTAATAATACAGTGGAACCCCTCTCTAATCCAACAACAATGGGACAGAAGAAATGAATGTTGAGAGGAAGTGAAGAGGAAACTTTGTGCAGTATTTGAAATGTCAGTTTCACATAATGTATGCACACGAGTAAGATACATACAATGTGATATACATAGGAGGAGAGAGAAAGAGAGGTCACATACTCTGCGAGGTCATCTCTGATTTGAGAGGGTTCTCTCGCTGCTCTGCAAAGATATCAAACATCTGAGTCATGTGGAACGCCTCCAGGAACTGCCAACAAAACATGTGACAATCATGTGACAAGCATGTTATGTATTAGCAAGTTAGGACTCATTCTAGCTGAGAATGGTGGCTACATTTGTGTTCTATATAAAATGCTAAGTCGCTCACCCTTCTAATTGACTTGGACGAGAATTTCTTTTCGTATTCCTTTTTCGCAAACTCTATACTTCCGTCTGCTTTCTTCTTCATGTATTGTCTGTAGTCACCTGTGGAGGAGGGATCATTACACTATTGTGATAGAGTGGAAACTCCTAATAACAGATCCACTAATGTGTCCTTTCACTAAGAGCAAGTTTCCCATGTAAACTGAGGCACTCTCTCTCTCACTTTCTGCCAAGCTTCCATCGAGCTATTGCAAGCTAGCTACATTGTCATTGTATTGCAGATGGCCTAGCGCACTAGCTATAGAGTAAAAAAGACCCTGAATAAAGGCACTTGTCTATAAAGGACACTTAATTCTGCCCCATACTAAAACAGGGAAATCTCTGAATAAAGGACATATTTAACGTCCCCAAAAGAGAGGTGCAGTGGACCTACATACGTACCGTACAAGTAGACAAAGAAAATCATGAAGGTGTTGGTGATGATCTCGTCGGCTCGACTTGTGCTACTTTTCTTCCCCGATGGTTTCTGGTATTCCGAAGTGACCGCTGGGGAACCCTGTAATCAACGCCAGCAGGTTAAAATTTTGATTTTGATGTTATTATTGTACGTTAGTTACATACCAGAGTATGTTCGAGGTACTGAAACAGTTTGCTGGGTAAAATTGATGTTTCATCTCCAATCTAAACATCAGTAGAGAAGACATGAAATCTTACAAACACGTAATCAGTCAGGATCAATTTTTTTTACCTTCTTCACAAACTTTTTCTTGTCCAAATCTACAACAAGTGCCTAGAGAACAAAATACACACACAATTAGTAACAAGTTTGTTCTTTACTGGAAAGTACAACAGAACCTCTTAAATCAAGAAACCGATGTGACAGACCTTATTTCTTTGCATACGCAAAATACAGTTCTTTACTACGTATGTAGTGAGGCTTATTAGAGAGGTGTCCTAATGTGAGGGGTGTCCTTAGAGAGGGGTTACACTGTATTCTAAAATGAACCCCTGCCAGCTGAGTTGCCCTGGTAGCTCAGTTGGTAGAGTGCTCGCCTAGACTGCAGAGTGTCGTGGGTTCGAATACCACCCAGGGCAGCTCTCTTCTTTTGTTTGAAAAGAAAGAGCTGTCCTGGGTGTAGTTGACTTGTTTTCCTTGCCTTGCCTTTCTACCTCGCTACCAAGTTGTTGATAGATGAACTTTTGTTGAGAAGTTATGCTGTGTTTTTAACACACCTCTTCCATGGTTTCCATTTCGTCGAGGGCAGGGATGAGTGAGGGGTGCATGCCCATGAGATAGGGGAGAGGAGAACAGCAGAATTCTATGAGAGCACCTGGTAGTACCGGGATGAATACATGCTGAGGGAGGGAGGGCGGTGGCCGGGGGAGGGGGGATGGTGAAAGAGAAGAGAGAAAAGAGAAACAGAGGAGAGATAAGGAAAGGAGTGTAAGAGAAGTGAAAAAGGAAGAAGAGGGAGAGGAAGGAAGAAAAAGGGTAAACTTTGTCTCTGTTTCAAGAGACCACACTCAGTACCTGCCATTCAAAGGGGTAGAGAAGTGCCAGAAGAGCATGGGCACAGCCAGTTAGAAGACTAGAGAAAAGGGGTAAGAAAAACAATTACTTGAAAGTCATCTTTGACAGTATTAATGACAGTGGAAAGAAAACTATTTTCTCTATAATGCAATATTAAGGTAGTGAATGTTACTATTCCATACTTCAGTTATAGTCTAACTATACTGCATAGTTGGTTTGTCGTTTGTTCCACTCACGTTCGTTCAAAAAATGCAAAAGATTACTGACCTGAGATTACTGACAGTATACTGACCTGAGATTACTGGAGCAGAGGATGACGCGTCTCTCCATGAGCATGGAGGAGAAGAGTTGGATGATCTTGCGAGGAGGCAGAGTGGAGAAGAGAATCGAGAAATCCACGTGCTCCAGCCGTGAGTCCAAAGGTCGTGTGAACGTCACCGTCTCCATTTCACCTCCTCTGGCCTGGAACACAGACACCACAGAACTTTGTGAATTTTATTCCTTACGTGCATTTTTAGTGAGCGAATGCAAGTGGTTGAGTGTAGTGAACAGGATGGCCTAAAGGTTCTGTACTTTTAGCAAGAAATTGGAAGGAACGACAGGCCAACCAACCATCCTTAATTCATTTAAAATAGCTAGTGTATAAGTGCACTACTTTTCTGAAAAGTTCTCACCGAAAAGGCTCTGACTTGTACACTCCGTCCCTGAAATAAAATTGACAAAGATAATGAGATTCAGAACTGCAACAATTATTATTATTGTATATTAACTCGTGCTAAAATCAATGTATGTATGGGTGGTGGTGGCTTACTGGTTTGGGGAAAGGGTTGGCTACAATTGCCTTGAGAAAGGTGAAGACAGCAGTTGTTGACACTTGTCTTCTCTCCTCAATGTTGTCCAATATCTGTGAGGTCAGATAGGAACTCTTATCTAAGGACATCCCTGAAATGAGGACACCTCTCTAATAAGGACACCTTTTCTTTCGCCAAAAAAAACAATTCTTGTGTACACCTCTCTAATATGGGAACTTGTTCAGTCCCATTGGTAATCCAGATTAGAAAATTTAACAGTAGGAGGTATTGTAATTGCCACACATACCTTTTCATATAGAGAGAAGCAGCCGAGAGGACTGATTAGACAAGTGACTTCAGGTAGTCTGGGTCCTTTACCAGCAGGCTACAGGGACAAGGAAGAAGTATTATTCAGCTACAGATATACGTCAGTGGGAAAGGTAAAAACAGACAAGCAGGCGCGAGAGGAAAACGAAATCAGAGTGGGAGAAGAAGAAGAAGACTACTAGTAAGAGGCTTACCAGAAGTCTTCTGCAGTAGCCAAACTTCCTGTTACCCTCCATATTTGTCAGAACAAAGGAAAACGTCTCGCTGAACAGAGAGAGAAAGAGAGAGGAAGAAAGAAGGGAAGGGGAAACAGTTTGTAATGGTGGTCTGCTGGTAGATTTCCAGGCAAACCTCTTGAATTTGGTTGTAGGTTTGAGTCTTTCGATGTCAGGGAAACAGAATTGTGGAATTGACTCCATGGTTTCATCGCGACCAGTCTGGTAGGAGAGGGAGAGAGAGAGAAGACAGATTAGTTGGAAAGAATAGCTCAAAAATGGTGATTTGGCATAATATTGTTTGGACTATTAAACTCAAGGTTAACTGGAATCATAATTATGTGAATTACGTAATACTACGCATGACCGACGTGGTAAATTCATGACGAGTACATGTTTGTAAACAACAACAAACAGCCTCAGGCGCTAGAAATCAAGTAAAGGGACTTACTTCAGAAGGAGGGCGAGGGGGAAATGTATAAGTGACTTCTGTTGTTAGTTTGTTGGCATCTGCCGGGTCTGGCTTTAGGGTCACAACAAACACTCGCTCAAATAGGTGAGGATACGACAGGTCGAAATCATCTTCCACTTGACTAGGCTGAACAGGGAGAGAGAGAGAGTGGTAGAGAATGGCAATACATATGCAGTAGCAAAAAGGATATCTTTTCCTATTGCCACTTATTATACAGTTTCAATGAAACTGCTGCGTTCGGGAGTTATGGCACTGAAGCTTTTGGTATCACTCTTTTGTTGTCTCGTTGCACGCGGTGGCAGAAAACGAGACGGACAGACACGCAAACCAAGTACCGTAACACTCACTGCACACATGCACCGAGGGTTAATATGTACTTCAGGGCCCTTACCTAGCTATGACTAGGGTGTGTTGAAAGTGTGTGTGGAACAGTAACTTACCTTTCGAACGGACACCGGTCTCAGTTTTGGCTTGAACTCTGAAATAAAACCACAGAAAATACTCACATAACATCGAAACCGTTAACCCAAAAACAGACACAACTGTACATACACACACCATGGGTGAGCACCCACAATGTTAGAGATTGGTAAGTAAAGGCAAACACCCACAATGTTAGAGATTGGTAAGTAAAGGCAAACACCCACAATGTTAGAGATTGGTAAGTAACGGCAAACACCCACAATTGGTTTAGATTGGTAAGTAAAGGCAAACACCCACAATGTTAGAGATTGGAAAGTAAGAGCAAACACCCACAATGTTAGAGATTGGTAAGTAAAGGCAAACACCCACAATTGGTTTAGATTGGTAAGTAAAGGCAAACACCCACAATGTTAGAGATTGGAAAGTAAGAGCAAACACCCACAATGTTAAAGATTGGTAAGTAAAGGCAAACACCCACAATTGGTTTAGATTGGTAAGTAAAGGCAAACACCCACAATTGGTTTAGATTGGTAAGTAACGGCAAACACCCACAAATGTTAGAGATTGGTAAGTAAAGGCAAACACCCACAAAATGATTTAGATTGGTAAGTAAAGGCAAACACCCACAATGTTAGAGATTGGAAAGTAAGAGCAAACACCCACAATGATTTAGCTAAATTGGTAAGTAAAAGCTCACCATAGGATTAAAAGTGGACCAATGGAAAATTTTATGATGCATGCTAATAATTTCACTTTGGTTTGCAGATATTGAAACACGGGAAAGATGCAACGCCCAACTTTAAAAAGTTATGCAAGAAGGAAAGAACCGTGGGTGCATAAGCAAACATTGTTCTCCTCCATTAGACTCACTAATGGTGGCTCCTTTCTCGTCCTCACTACTGCTGTCACTGTCTCCTCCATCTTCCTCTTCTGCCACCCTGGCTGTAAGAACATACACACTGCATCACTGTACATACATGATATCAATACATCTACAAAGCCATTTTTGAATGGCAATAGCATAAAAAATATATATATAGGGCATCCAAATATTTTAGTTAAAGTTAATGTTAACAGCTAGTGGAGTCACATAGCACCATGGTTTGTTAGTGAACGTTCAGAGAGTCTTAAAAACAACAGGGTGGCACTAATTAGAGGGGCTGACCAGGGATGGTTGGTAGATCCTTGTCGCGTGGTCTCACTCTCAGTCGACTGAACAACGATCCTTTCTGTAGAGATTGACAGAGAATGACGATACATACAGTACAAGGTAATTTTAGACTGAGAAGTCTCTTGTTGAAATTTCGACCATTCACCAAATTTTGTGAGTGTGGCTTTTCTGCTTTGATTCATGAGAGGATTACGTGACAATACTTCCTGCCAAAGAAGGCAGAGAGAGGGAGAGGGAGGTGAGAGACTAACCTTGGTAAGTGGACTTGGATCATTTGCCCTCTTTCGTTTCGGAGACTGCACCAAGAAGAGAGAGAGATGGAGAAAGTAAGTGAGTGAGAAAGAGAAAGAAACAGGCTCTCTATCTTGTGTGGGTCCATACCTTATCTTTGGTTGGCCCACTAGGCACAGTGCAGCTCACTGAGAACTCCTCTTCTCTCCCTCTATCCTCCCATCCTCGCGGAGCCTGGGTTTGTGGGGTAGGAAAGATATCAGTTTGCTCTGGCTTCCATGTAACTATAGCTAACTGCACTATTTAGTTCATAGAACCTATCATCCAATAGAGTTTACATAAACCTCGGCCCTTCCAAGTCCTTCTGCCACACTGGCAAAGCCACCTTCCCAAGTCTTCACTGAAACTGCAGCTACCACTTCAAAAAACACCATACAGGCCAAGAATCATAAGGCAAGTTTCTAAGTTTTCAAAGGAATTGGAAAGAACCAGCTACCCAAGCCTTGTCACGACCCTGCCTGCCTCTAGAAACACATGTGTACTGTACCATAGGTCCGTCAAAGGCAGCAAAGACTGGCCATAACAGAGTTTCGTGACCCAGCAGAGCAGTGGTTTGCCTTCTCTCCCTGTCCCTCTCCCTCTCCAACCCTGACAGACCCTCCGTGACTGACTGGCTACCACTCAGCTCTGAAGACACCACAGACTGCTCACTAAACCTCTCCAACAGCTCAGTACTCAGACTCTTGGCTAGCAACATGTCCATTCTATGTAGCTACTGAACCGTGACTTCAGATAGAACCCCAGCCACTGTGACTCACTGATAGACAGATCTAACAGTATTGCAACCACACTTATACTACGTAAACTCTGAGTTTCTAAGGGAGAACTTTAATAGAATTTCAGCTACTATACCGAACTCTTACACTCGGACAAAAGCTTTAGAGAGAGCTAATAGAACTTCAGCCACTTCTAACAATAACCTTCAGACAGAGCCACCAGGCTCATGAGAGCTTGACTTATACACTTTCAGGTATGCAGACAGGCAGATGGTGGTCTATAGCAAGGAAGCCAAAACAAGTAGGACTTGGTCCGTTGGCTACAAACTGCCTCTTTGTAGAGTATTTAGACGACAAACTTTCTCAAGACTACACTAGCACGCATAGGATTTCTGTATACATACAGTCTATATAAGACTGGTCAATATACATAGTAGTAGCTATATGTATATACAGTGCATTAGTGAGGACGTGCAGGGGGCTAAGTTGTTGTTGATTCAGAGATTTTGGGATACCGAGACAGTTTATTATCCTGCTCAAAATACACACCACATGTCGAAACACGCGGAACATGTATACACACCTTATGTATATTCAAGGGATAATAGAGTAATGTATTGCTAGCTGAAAACACAGTACATTAGAGCTAGCAGCATAGACTGAACTGCAGTTAGCTACTGCAATGCAAAGCAGTAAAAGAGTATTGTACAAATAATAAGTAAGTGCACAGTTTGCTAAGAACACAGTACATTAGAGCTTCCATGACACAGCATTATAGACACCTGATACTATATATACACACAGTCAAAGATGTCTTAGAGATAGTACTAGTAATGTACATAACTTGCTAACAACATAGTCAATAGACACCTGTTACTATCTGCATGCAGACTTACACATCTTCTATGAAGTTTCAAACTGAACATCTTCATCACAGAGAGCTATAACTAAAGAAATCTCCACCAACTTGCAATGAAGTATGCACGGTATAAACCAGCCACTATAACACATGAAACAGCTACACAAACGCTATAACTTGACTAGCTGTAAGCACACATACGTATGAAGTCACTGGTTAAAAGAACAAGCCAAGTGGTTGCACCATTTCTACAACCTATCATGCCAAACAGCAGAGAGAGAGAAGGAGATCTGTGCTAATATAGAAAGAGGCTATCTTCTTCAAAGCCAAGTGGAAATTTCGCACTAGTTCCAGTTACCACGGAGCCGGTGGTAAAAGGATTAGCTGATGTGGCAACACAGAGAGAGAGAGAGAGAGGGATGGTGCTAGGAGGGGTGACTAGCAGTGAGGACAAAAGAGGTGAAATGGGACACGCCAGAGAATGTAGAGAGCAATTCAGTTCACATGACAACATAACTACCCGATTATGATTACTCTATTATGTAAGGTTATGTCCTTGTGCAATGGGTATACAGCTACTGATAATGAGAATGAGCCGCCAACATTGTGAACTTGTCACTAGCTGGCTAGCTACTGGTATTCTGGCAGTCAAACAGACATGTAAGTCAAATCCTTCCCTTGCCCCCTCTCCTTACCTTCTTTATATCATCTGGAGCAAGACTTTGTCCAAATTCACAGTCTGCCATTTTGGTTGGCAATTATATAAAACTTTCTTGCTTTATAGCTAAACCAAATCTTTACTAGCTATGTATGCAGAGGCTACATACACTAGAACTAGCTACCAGCTAAGCAACTGCTGAAGTACACACTATATAGCTGAGAGCCTTTACTACCTTCTGTAGTCAACACAAACTGAACTATAACCAAAGCTACCGGCCTTTATAAACCTAGCAGGAGGGCTGAGGTAAGCAATAGTCAATAGTACAACAGTACAGGTAGGGCCAGGCTTACTACACTGGGCCAGGCCCACAAATGTGTATATACAGTCCCAGGTATTTCCCCCATATCACCACTGCTGAAACTGCAAGAACAACAGAAACTCTATACATTAGTATAGGGTCTTACTGTTTGGTGTACACTATCATAGCTAGCTATGTATACTCAAACTTATCCTGAAAGGAATAATACTGTATTCGTGAAAAGTCAAACTTGTGTGTGTAGCCAATGGTAAAAAAACAACTACATTCCATTAATAATGTGTAGTAATATTTACGATACACATTACTATAGGCGGCAGTAGAGTCAGCTGCTGAGCTAAGGGACAATAGTAAAGTCTGATTCTCACACAAGTAAACCTCCTAACAGGCCACACTTCTACTAATGAACTGTGATTCTGTTTGTGTACACAATATCAATGGAATTAACTAAGGCTTCTATGTAGCCCATACGCTTCTCATGGATGTATATGTATGTACACTGGAACCTCTGATCAAGATAGGGCCGGCCTCTCTACAAAGGACACTTGTTTCAACCCCATGCTAATACTTTAGTGTATTATTTGACCTCTGAGATAGGGACAACCTCTCTACAAGGGACACTTGTTTCAACCCCATGCTAATACTTTAGTGTATTATTCGACCTCTGAGATAGGGACAACCTCTCTACAAGGGACACTTGTTTCAACCCCATGCTAATACTTTAGTGTATTATTTGACCTCTGAGATAGGGACAACCTCTCTACAAGGGACACTTGTTTCAACCCCATGCTAATACTTTAGTGCATTATTCGACCTCTGAGATAGGGACAACCGCTCTACAAAGGACACTTGTTTCAACCCCATGCTAATACTTTAGTGCATTATTCACCTCTGAGATAGGGACAACCGCTCTACAAAGGACACTTGTTTCAACCCCATGCTAATATTATTGGACCTCTGAGATAGGGATGACCTCTCTACAAGGGACAAATCATTGTCCCTTGTTCGGAGGTTCCACTCTATGTATAATTTATGACACATGAGGAAATCTTACCGACTCAACATCCACCATGACAGAGGCAGGTCTGCTGGCCGTGCGACCCTCGGCAGAGATGTGTCTGGAGAGGGGTTGCTGGGGTCGCGGAGGTCGCTCTGTCTTTGTCTGCAAAGAGAGAACTATGTCTTCCAACACACGACACACTGATCAAGCCACAACTCTGAGACCAAAGCTGGTCTTCCCTATTCCCCCTATTAGAGTATGTACTGTTGTGTGTGTGTGTGTGAGGCTCACCTCTTGTATTCTGTGTGAGGAATAAGCTTGGACTCCTCTCTGCAGTGTCCCGTGAAGACTTTCGTCACTCATCGACCGCGACATGCCGCCCCCTTCCTCCTCACTCTTCTTCCGTCCCCGCTTCAGTTTGAAGCCGCTCTTCCCCGAAATGGATGCCCCTCGCCCCCTCTTCTTGTCCCCTGCTGCCCCTCCACTTTCGTCGATGATGAGATTGTGCGAGCGATGGTGGAGGGGTTTCGAAGAGGACGGGGTAAGTCCGGGGCGAGCCAGCTGGGATGAAGGCAGAGGTTGTTTGGACGAGGACGAGGAAGGAGGAGGAGGAGGAGGAGGTGGGTTGGAAGAAGCGTTACTGAGGATCTGGTGACTCCGGTAAGGTCTAAGAGGAGGAGATGCCTGTGGCTGGGAAGGAGATTCGCATCTCTGTGGAGACTGACTCCCAGAGTCGTCCCGCCCGGCTCCACTCTTGGCATTCTTGATCCACGATACATCTGATTTCACGGGAACCCTCTTCGAAACAACGCCTCTTTTCTTAGCGCCACTTCTCGCAGAAGAGCCATGGAGGACATGAGACTCACTCTTGACCTCACGCTGCCAAGGTTTTTGTTTTCCCACGGGCCGCTCTGATATCGCTGCGGGTTCAGGCTGGCGGGAGATGCTCGACGTGAAAACTTCGTCGCTCTCTGAAGAAAGACTCTCTTTTCCTCTGTCTGACGATGGATCTGAAGGCATTGCATCGCTCGAGGGGTTGTCAAATTGTTCTCGATTTGTTTCCACGTCACGTCTTGCTCCACTTGTGTCAGTTTCATCTGCAGAGCTCCCTTGGAAGACCTTTGCTGCCGCCGATATAATTGACTTGTTGCTTTTCCCGGCAAATTGTCCCGGTTTGAGCTCCCGTTGTGGTGTCGCCATCTCTCTATCTTCCTCGGTCACTGAGCCGAGGGTGTCTGGCGATTCACTCTTGCGTTCCGATACAGGCTCACTCGAAACAGACGTCGGTGTTGTTGATTTCGACTCCCGGGCAATGCTGCCTCGACCGGCCGGCCTTTTCATGGCATTCCGTTTTGCCTGAGAAGAGAGTCCAAATGACAGCAGTGAAGTTGGGGAGGGTGTGGAGGGAGCTGGTGATAGTGGGGAGAGCGGGGAGGTGATTGACGATCGTAGGCTCTCGGGAGGCGGGGTCTGCATCACTGATTTTGCAATCGGTTGCGAGAGCTTCTTTGCATCCACGGCATCTGGAGACGAGGCCTGCGCTCTTTCTATCGCCCGGGACAGCTTCATTCTTGCTGCCAGTTTCAGGTCCGCCACGCCCACAGCCAAAGGGGTAGAACCCTGTTCGTCAGCAGTTGATTGGCACGGAGAATCTCGTGGTGGTAAGGGGGGTGGACTGTGGCTGGCGTCTGTCTCTGGATTTCCTGGGGAACCATTCAGTGATCTCCCGGCAGCGTCTTCACCGTGGTGGGGATACGGAGTTGGAGTATTTGACCCCGAACTCCAGGGTAGTGGAGTAACAGAAGGAGGCGGGGTGTCCCTCACCTTTCTCAGTATGCCGTTTTCCTCCTCGAGTTGCTGAATCCGTCTTCTCAACGCTTCATTTTCCGTTTCCAACTCTCTAGTATCTCCCCTTACTATATGGGTGTCCTGATTAGGAGGTGGATGTCCCGAATTTGTCCTGCTTTCCAGGTTTTCTTTGTCCGAGACTTCCGTCTCTTTGATTGAATTCCTGAATATGTTGCTTGGTGACCGAGAACCTTCGGGCTGTAGTGGAAGGGGCTTTGTTTCGAGTCGTCTTCCGTCGTCGCCATTTTGGGATGATGTCATTGTTGAGGTGGGTGATGTAATGGGGGAAGGGGTGGATCTCGTTGTTGGTGGCATGAGGGGTCGTTTTGGTTCAGCAGAAACTGGAAAGAGAGAGACCCTATAATTACAAGCACATACAATAATGCTAAGCACATTAGAACTTATTAGGCAATCCTTTAGAACCTCAAAGTACATATGTATATTGACCACGAAACAGCTAAGCGCTGGAATTACATCAATAAGAATTGTAAGGCTCACCACCGGATTTGTAAGAACTGTTCAACTGGACGTCCTGATTAGAAGTCTGCGCAGCCGATTCGACCGCCCTATAAACCGATCCCGCAGAGTTGGTAGAGGATACACTCGAATCGGAAGAAGAATTGCTCTTTTTCTCTCGCAGATGGGCTGGCGGGAGGAGAGGGGATTTCTTCACACTCCCCCTGCCATGGCTTCCACCGTTAGTCACAGAGTGATTAGAACCGTTCTGAAGAGCACTCGTCAGGCTCCTAATCGTGGGGGCCGGCAAATTTTTCCTCGGAGACTCGACTGACGAGTGCTGTCGCTGCGTTGTCTTGGTAACAGAGGTTGTTTTGATTACCCCGTCGCTGCCTGCCCTTGCCAATCCTCTGGGGAACTTCTGGCTCATTTTTGAAAACTTTCGTCAATTTCTCTCAGATCGCAATTTGTGTTCCTTGTCTATTTACAGCAGCATGTGTTAACCGTGGAAACTTTTCAGTTCACAAGGGGTTAAAATGATTCGCAGACGTCACGGTGAGTATATGGATAAGTGATACTATTATTGATCTGCACTTTTAAATGTTCCTTTCTCACTTCTAGAAGTAAAAAAACAACATAAGTCATGCACTTATACTAATCGATAAAGTTGTAACTGACCTCAATTAGTGTCAGGCATGATAAGACGATGACGTAGAGCACAACACAGAACTTCAGGGAGCAAAAAACTTGATGTCCTTATCTCTTCCCTGTCCCTCCTATATTACCTACACATGAAAAAAACAAGGTACATAAGTGTACATTAAAATTCATTACCAAATTGTTTTTTCAAAAATATAAAAATAAAAAAAATTATATTCAATTCCTATCCCCCCTTCATTACCCCCCCCATTTCCTTACCCACTCACTTTTTCCTTTTACCTCCTTTATTCACTCTTTTCGCCTCCCCTATTTCCACTCCCCCCCTCCCCCCCCCCCCCCTTTCTCCTCCCCCCCCACCGCCCCTCCTCCATCCTACCCCCCCCCTCCGCTCTTCCCCCCTTTCCTCCCCGCCCCCTCCTCTCCCCCCCCTTTTCCTCTCCCTCCTTCCTTTCCTCCCTCTCCTCTCTTTATTTCCTTCCCCCCCCCTCTTCTCCTTTGCTCCCTCGCTCCCCCTCCCCCCTCCCCCCCCCCCCTCCTTCCTTCCCCCCTTTCTCCCTCTTCCCCCTCTCCCCCCCCCTCCTCCCCCCCTCTTCCCCTCCTTTCCTCCCCCCCCTCCCTTCCCCTCCCTTCTCCCCTCCCCCCGCTCTCCTTTCCCCCACCCCCTTCCCCCCCCGCTTCTTTTCCCCCTCTCCTTTCTTTCCCCTCCCTTCAGGCTCTGTCCTTCCTCCCTTCTCCCCTCCCTCTCTATTCCTCTTTCCCCACCTCTTTCTTTTCTCCCCCCTTTCCCCTCCTCACCACGCTTATTCCTCCCCCCCCCCTTTCCTGGTCCCCCCCCCTCTTCCCCCCCCCTCCCCCCCCCCCCCCCCCCCTCCCTCCCCCCTCTTCCTCCTCTTTCTTTCTGCCCTCTCCCTTTCCTCCTCTTCCCTTCTTTCCTCCTTTCTCTCCTCATTTCCCCTTCCCCCCTCTCCCCCTCCCTCTCTCCCTCCCCTCCCTTTTTCCCCCCCCCCCTTCCTCCCCCCCCCCCTTTCCCCCCAACTCCTCCCCCCCCTTCTCCCCTTTCTCCCTCCCCTCTTCTCCCTTTTCCGCTCTTCCCTTTCCTTTCCCCTTCTTTTTCCCTCCTCCTCTCCTTCCGTTTCTTCCCCTCCCCTTTTTCCTCCCCCCTTCTTCCCCCCCCTCTCCCCCTCCTTTTTCCCCCCACTTTCTCCCCCCCTTCCCCTCCCTCCGCCTCTTTTCCTTCTTCCCCGTCCCCCTTCCCCCTCCCCCTCCCTTCCCTTCTTCCCCCCCCCCCTTCTCCCTCCCCACCCCCTCCCCATCCCCTATTCTCCCCCTTTCCCCTTTCCCGTCCCCTCCTACCTCTTTTCCCCCCCCCCCCTGATTTATCTCCCTCTTTTCCCCATCCTTCCCCTTCCCCTCCTTCCACCCCCCCTCTCCCTCTCCCATCCCCCCTTTCTCATCCCTCTCCCCCCCCCCCCTTCCCTCTTCTCCCCCCCCCCTCCCGGCGTTGGTTCTCCGTCGCTCTCCCCCTCCTTGTGCCGCCCCCCCTTTTCCCCCTGCTCCTCTCGTTTTCTGCCCCTCCGTCGTGGGTGGCCCCCTCCTCCCCTCCACCTCGTCTCCTTCCGTCCCTCTCTACATCGGTGGCTGTGTATGTCTGCTTGCTATTGTACACTGTGGAGAATGAATGTTCCGTGTAGAAATGTCATCGAGACACAGACACGGAACAGTTCTCGGTGGCTTTTGAACTTTTTGTCATAGCTGTGCCTCAATCAAACACACTCCGTTAAAGGGTCGGCATAAGGGTCGAGAGAAGAGAGATAAAGACTATATAATACACTGATCTTTTAGAGTTCATCAGACTAAGACTGAACATCCCTGCAAGCCTAGCATCACAAAACACTGCACCGCATATCAGAGTACACGTTGACATCGCAATGGACATAAACAACCCTGTGTTAGTACATACACATAGGAAGATCAATCCCTGCCCTGCAAATTGCATGCAGATGTACTGTGCATGCTGAGTATCAGGTTTAGGTATGTACAGTGATACACATTGAACTGCTGTTGCGTCAGGTATACATAGCTAGCAGTGTACTATAGTGAGGCTGCAGTGTACAGAGAGTGGTACCAAGATCTCCAACATTTGACTACTCTACCGTCACTCTAGAGTATTTTGCGTCTGCTCAACTCCTCGGACCTACCATAAACCGCAACAGCTCAGGTGTAATATACTCTCGTACTGTCCCTTAGGGTTGCAGCTATCATAATATATTTCACTCGAGTGCCAAACATCGAGACATGTAAAGCAGTCATTTTTGGTGGTACTCCCTTGGACTTAACTGAGGGGTTTGAGTGAATTTCAGGGTTACACGTGTTACTAATGATCACACCACGTTGACGTTTTTTTGTACATACTCTTTATATTATAACCCACAGACTCTCATACCATTTGTTAATCAGCATGCGGAAAATGTGAGGACAGGCGTGTATTATCGGATAGTGTTTTAGGAACAGCAAACGATAGGAACCACAGCAATCATGCTCTTGGCAGAGAGAAACTATAAACTATTCCCCAAATCATGGGCCAAATCATTGGGAACTGTGGAGAGCCATTTCCCACACATAGCTAGCTTAACTCTACTATGAGACAGGGAAACACTGATCAAACAGATCCTCTCCATAGCCAACTATAATTCATTGTCATATTAGCTATCCCATGAAATATATTATACGACTGCTCTTATCCGAAAAACCAAATACAATGGACGGTTTTCTCATTCTCAGCCAAAAACTCTGGAACAGCAGAACACGTTGCCACGAGTGACTTGGGATATGCTAACTGCCAGCCAAACATAATACGACATAGCCTCCCACAGCATTAGTTACAAGATACATTATAAGTAGAGTAAAGCTAGCCAAGATAGTACAGAGACATTTTTAATCAGGACACGTGCTTCTAACGTATCTATAGTAGGACAGCGTTAATTGCAGGACACGTATCAGGACATGCTTATACCAGAGCCAAGGATAGTAGGACAGGTTATATTATTATAATCAGGACATGCTTCACCGTACCGTAAATATTTAGCCAAATAAAAGTAGATTAGATAGTAGGACAGCGTTGACACATTTTAATATCAGGACACACTTCTACCATACTATATATAGCAAGCCAACGACAGTAGGACAGCGCTAAATTACAGGACACATTTCATTCAGGACATGGCAAGACGAAGATATTAGGAGACTGTTTCTCATGGGTTAATAATTATTACAGGACCCGCATTTCAACCATGGGACACCACTGAGGAGCCAGCAGCCAAGTAAACAGAGTCAAAGTGAACTAATTCCACTGCCCCCCACCGTATGCAAAACACACTCCTTCCCTCCGCACATCACTGACTCTTCCACTAATAGATCAGAGACATTGTCAGTGTGGCTATAACACACACCCCCAGCATTCTGAGGGTTCCTTCTTATCACTAAGTACGGTAGTACTTAGTATAATATAGGGATGGGCATGGTACCTAGCATCATAGATGTATGGGGCTATGATAGGGATATACCTTTTAATAGTTGCCACGCTGACACTAATTTCTTTGAAAAAAATAGCTGTCCCGGGTGTAGTTGACTTGTTTGCTGCGCCTTTGCCTTTCTACCTGTGCCTTACCTAATAGTTGATACGTTCATTGGCGGTCAAGAAGGTCGTGGTAGGCAATCTACTAGAGTTGCCCAGTTGACTCAGGGCCAGAGATATGTGCATGTGGGAGAGTTGGCAGGGGGTCCAATTAGAGACTGGGGCAGATCTGAGAACACGCTGCCATTCCTGAGACGGTTGGCATTCTCGACTGCACACAAACATTACCTCCTAGACACATTCCCCTTCCTTTCCCCCTCTTAAAATCAAAAGGAACATCATTTGTAGCTATATTATGTATATACATGGTTTGGAATGTGGTTAAAATTTTCTATTATCACAGCACAATCACAAAGCAAACCAGATTAGTTTTGCTATACCATAAGTAGTCACTAGTTCATTGAACTAAAGAGAAAGGGAGAGAAGAAGAGACCAACTAGATTTAGAGAGTTTCTAAACGCATGTACAGCTCTCCTCTCAGATGGAGCACCGTTTTTTCTGAGCTACTTTAGAGTTGAGAAAGGCTCTAAATCTAGAGAGTGAGTGAGTATCCTCGTCTTGCCATTAGCTAGCTAAGACCCACAGACCTATGTGCATGACACCATCCCTATATCCAAAACTAATTGGGTTTACTTTTGTGCCGATGTTTTGGGTCATAGCCCAGGACAACGAGCTATCCTGGAAAACATGTTTTTCACTTGAGTGCAGTTGAATTCATTGTTTGCACTGTCCTAGTGGTACACAGATAGATAAGTAGCACGTGTCCCAATTAAACACTCTGTTGCTAGTGATGTACATATGTATTGGACCGATGAGCCACAGCATCCAGGACAACCATATACCAGAACCCTTTGATCCTGTATACTCTGCCAGAACCAATACTTTCATCTACCACATAATAACAACCTCCACACTGAGCATGATGCATACAATATACGCCACCTTTACTTTGACATCGCTCACCCCTCATCGCTCAGAGTTAGGGGTGAGTTGAGGTGTCTGGGAGGTGAGACAGACACCGCATGTTCATATGGTGTATGTTCGTTTGTTAACGGTTCCACCCATTGCTCTGGGTGCGTGGTCTATGGCCCTAGTGCTATGGCAGCCACCTGAGTATTACTTTGACATCGCTAAATCTATACTTTGCTTCTCTTATCACTGTATCATATACATTCATGAAATCGTTCTTCCCTTTCATTTTCCCCGCAATATTATGAACACTGTGACATAATATGCGTGCCATAATATCAGACTTGTTGACGTATCACATGGAGAAGAATGAATTGAATGCACGAGGAACTTCACTGCCATACACACTGTCAGTACGGCAGTAATGCGGTATGAACGTATTTTGTCAACAAACTAATAGGGAAAAGGGCTTGGTACATTGGCCAGCCAGGGAACCGTTCCTCGTTAATAGACAAGCCCCATAGATTCTCAAAACATGAACTGAAGCACAAGTTCCATCTCTTTGCAGTTAGATTATGTATATACAGTGAAATTACCTATGAATAGGGGACAATTTGGTGACAGAGAAAGTGTCCTTTATTCAGAGGTGTCCCTTATTCAGAGGTAAAATTAGTATGGGGCAGAACCAAGTGTCCTTTATAGAGAGGTGTCTTTAATCAGAGGAACTAATGTATTAGTATGGGGCAGAACAAGTGTCTAAGATGTGCTTTTAATTAGGGATTAGTACGGGACAGATTTAAGTTCTTTATAAAGAGGTGTCTTTGTTCAGAGGGTCCTTTCTCAGAGGTTCCACTGTACATGTAAATCACTGAACAACAAAGGATGCTGCATTTTGCTAGGAACATGGCGGGAATATGAGAGGTAGCTAAATGTCCCAATTTGTGTCCTACATGCTGTGATTAGCAGCAGACTATCATCTTGGCACTCAGTCACTGTCCGTGGTACAGACATGTCTTATACACCCTCAAAAGAACACTCGTAATTGTGCTCATTAGAATAGAATAGGCTTATATAATGTGAAAGCCTTTTACAAATGTAAGCAAATTTTAAAACATATTCGTGGTAGCTATAATTATATCAGTCATAGAACCCTGCCATGAAATGTACAAGACTACAAATTCGGAAACATCACAATTCTAGCGGAATTTGCACCTGTTTGAGAACGAAAATATCTTTTGGCAAATGGAAGCGTGTTGGCTGAACTCTAAGGAGGTAATTAGATAGCAACAGAAGAAGGCGAGCAAGTAAATGGTAATGCAAGAAGGGGTTCTCTGATTAATACTGCAATCAAAATCTCAGAATGTCTTTACCTTATGGGTTTACTCTAACTTAGTTATATGCTGGCGTTCACTGGCCTAGCCAGGTGGTGCTATATGTGTACTGAAAGATTATGGGAACCCCTATTATAATGTATTAGTCTTCATAAGATATTTTCACTGAGAGCGTGGTGAAGAAAGAGGGAGAGAGGGGGAGAGGAAAGATGTCACAATGTGTGTGTATTAGTAAAATAATCAGACATCAGCTGAGATGAATGGGATTATCAAAAAGTGTGGACAGGCTGGGCTCACTAGTAGCTACAGAGGGCTGTTTACACAACGGGTTGTGATATGACATGGGGCTGGAGCCAGCGACTGATTGTCACATTGTACCACATGCCACTGAACAATATCTCTACTTCAGTTCCCAGCCCTATACCGCCTTAGACGCACATGGACTGCTACATTATTAAAGGGTTCCCCACTATTGTATATACAATCGCAGTGATTATACTGTAAATGGAAGACTAATACATTATTATAGGGGTTCCCCACTATTACAATCTCAGTGAAAATATCTTAGTGTAAATGGAAGACTAATACACTATAATAGGGGTTCCCATAATCTTTCAGTGTAAGTATGGTTAGCTTCTTATATCCAGGAGACTGCTATGTTATTACTATAGCTACATCTGCCTTAGAGTCCTCGACTGAATGGCACACTAGATTCAGCTAAAATATAGAATAGCTACTGCATGTAGCTACTATCAATAAAAACTAAGTTTTAGAACCATACAAGATAATTATTTCTTAGCATTCGTACGAGGCACACAATTTCCAATGACATTACCATTTTAAGCAGGTATCCACACTTAATTGTACATCATTTAGCAGTTGTTTCATCCGAATACTGTTATATACAACTCAATAATAAGATTTTATATTCCCAATTCACACGTGCTACAAGGCAATTACAGTATGATATTGTCAATAAATTGCAGGAGGTTACTCACAGCATTCATAGTCTGTGTGTTTCGTCTAGAGGCAAATTTCGCGGAACCATTAGCCCGATGTTGCTGATGACGGAGATGAATAATAGACACGGGGGACATTTCTAGCATCATTGCAGAATGTTACGATTTTCATTATCATAAATTCCGTTAGCTACTCTGTCCACCAAGAGTGGCACAAATTAACTGACGTAACAGTAGAAAGTAAAAGAGAAGAGAGAGGGACAAATATCCCCCCTATACTGTATAAGGCAAGACACAGGAAGAAACCTGATTCCAGAGAGAGAAATGGAAATCTGCAGTTTAGCATGCTTCCCTCCATGACTTACCACCCACACCACTCATATGGACAGGTGTAGGTACACTAGTTTTGCTGTAGTCTATGTGCTTTCTCCAGCTAGCTAGCTAAGCCCCTTGCTATGACCACTCTAGCTACAGAACTCCGTATGTGTACACAGTCACCCCGCTGATTACTGTGTATTATACTGTTTATTGGCTTAGCTAGCTATTGGCTACATAGCTAGCAGCTACTCAAGACTCTGTATATAGTTTCGATGCATGACTTGTAAGGTAGTCACGGAACTGCCTTGCTAACCATGTACGCGGAAAACTGCTCACGCAGTACTAACACTTCTTGTCCAGCCGAAGACTTCAACGGTGACCTACAGCTACGTAGTACGGCATGCGTCTGTGGATCAACTACACGTCTCATGTATGCAGTCGTACGTAGTACAAACAGCCGGGCTGTGCTGGGTAGCTATTATTCCCAGGAAAACGAAACGGGGAACGAAACGTCGTACGCCGCGGCGGTACCACGTAGCTACTACGTTTGTAACTGAGTAGGGCGTACGCTTACATTATGTGTAACATGTCTCACCTCTTTCACTCCGTTTCTTTCTCACTATCTCTCTCTCCTGTCTCTCTCTTCTTGACTGATCTCCCAGGGCACTTGGTTATTGACTGTCCAGCCAATAATATACGTCAGTAAACGTCGAGCCACGCCTCCTTCTCTTTTCCCTGGAATGTTGTGGGGGTGGTTTTTTTACACCACACCCCTTTGCTCAACTGTTGATTCCGTTCCAATGCAGGCGTTTGAGAGCGTGGGGATCTCTGGATCGGGAAAAGCTAGCGTACGCTCATGTGATCACGCGTGTACGTTTGCGCGCATGCGCGATTATGTTCTCCAACGCATGCGCGCTACATTTTACGCGCTCTACCTTCTTCACGCTGGAGAGCCTCAACGCTAACGCAAACCTTTCTTTGGAGGCTTAATTCTAATTACAATTTATAGCTACACCAGCTATAAGTTTGAGGTCTCTTCTTCCAGGAGTAAGATGCAAATCGGATTGTAGCCATAATGTCTTGGGCTATGAGAGGAGTTTCCTCAGTTGAGGCACTGAGGGAGAGACATGTACTATAGAAATGCTGCAAACAGTAGAAAATTAAGTGTCAGCACTAGAAAAAGTGTGGTTGTGGGAAAGTGAGAAGATGAAATTTGAACTCCTGTGGGGTTTGGTGAAGAGTGACAGGACACAAGTCTGGGGTATTCTCCAGATGGCCAGACCAATTTGTCTGGAATGCTCCCAGTTGGTTTAGCCTGTGTCCAGTCAGCCCCGCAACAGCAGTGTCAAACTGATCACAGCAGCAATAGTTTGACTTCCATGTACAATACTGCGTGGAAGTAGCTACTATATAGTGTGGAGTAGGTGTTGAAACTCTGTACATTTTTCTCATTCAATCCAATAGTAGCAAGTTTTGTCAGTGCTCTGTCATTATCTGTAATGATATCACACCCAGCTACAGGCAGGGTTTATTTCATCAGCTGTGTATCAGTATCACATTATTATTTCCTTCATAAGAACTATAAACGTAGCCAGTCGAGCATGAATAAGTACAGCAAGTTTCCTCCACATTGCCTGCAGACCGTAGCTCCAGTACTCTGGCACAGGGTAACCAGAGTATCTTGATGTGTGGTATACTCTTCACCATGTGTGTCCTAGAGAAACTGTGCACGTAGTAACTCCTGCAGTGGAGCGAATACCAGTTACATGGAAGAGTAGTTTCCCTTGGAGTGGAGCTGTATGTCCATATAACATACTGGAGCATTTTGCAGTGTGTGTGGGGTCCCTTTGTTTGCATGTGTGTGTGTGTGTGTGGCAAGTGTATGCATGAAGTATAATAGCTGGTTGCAGTTGGGATTTATCATTGGACTATATAAATGTTTATATAGTGCGTAAATATCATGCAGAGTTAAACATTATTACAAGTGTGGCATATTATTAACATGTTTTTTGTGCTAAATTAGTACAGTAAGCCACCTGGTGAACCATAGTGTTATTCTCATATCATGCACCTGGTGTGTCAAAGTCTGTGGAGGAAAAGTTGGGTTTGAGGGGGAAATGAAAACGGTGCATCACTAAACTCTGTTTCAGCTTCTCTCTTCACAATTAGTTTGTGGCAGGAGAAAGCCCCTCTTGTGGGGTCTACCGGTCCTCTTTCACCACAACACTCAGTGCCTCCTTTGCTTTACCTCACCACTACTCTAAACCTTTCTGCTATATACACACACTGGTCCATTTGATGCCTAAGTAGACTGATGAGTAGTGTGCATACGATGAATTGTCCATCCCATCATGAAGCAGTTAGAAAATTTGTCTGTTTCGGAAAAATTCAAACCCCTTGGAGAAGTCTTTCTATTGAAGATTCTTGTGGGGAAACACTTTATTAGGGTGAACCCTTTTTCTTGGCTTCAGTCCCCAGTCCAGTGTGTATATAGCAATCAGTAGCGGCACACACACCGACCATATCCCTCCCACATTCTCTGCTGCTCTTTGGCAACAGATGAACAACATTAGTCACTGCAAGTACACAGTCAGTGGAACACACACGCACCGCACACGCACACGTTAGAAGCTTCCGCCATGCGCGCGCGCCTCCACTTCAGCGCACGACGACCGGACCCACCCAAACGCCGTGCACTCCCGTAATTTCCCGTATTGAGACCCGACAGGGCCGGATCAAAATAGCAATGCGCAATCCTGCTGGTCAGTCCTCCGCTCTCTCTCCACGCTCCACGTCTCTCGAAACCGTCTCCATTTTCTCTCTCTCGCTCTCTCTCCGCTGGCCGGGTCTGAGCACCCTCAATCGCAATTGACTGTTTCGTAAGAACGACCGAAGACGTATCGAGCGTGTAAAACACACTGACGAGAACTAACCAGGACGTATTGTCGTCACGAGCTACCGTACGATACTACTGTACCAAGCCAAAGAGTAAGAAAATCAAGCTTCCCGAGACATTCTCTGCTAAAAACACTGCGAAACACGCAACAATGGCCGTAGAAGTCGCTGTGATGCGGACACCGCACGATTCCGTCAGTCCCGTCATGTACCAGCCGCAGAACGTCTGGCAACCGCAGCCGCTATCGCCCACCATGGACCAGGGACAATTCATCCACTCTCCCGTCGGTTCCGTCGCCTCGCCGCACAGCCACGGTTCGCCGCTCTCGCACGCTGCGAATTCCCCCGTCGGAGTGTGCTCCCCAACGGCCGTTCACTCGCCGCACGTCCAGGCGCACTCTCCCATCATGCAGGCTGGGTCTCCGCTACACTGCCAGCAGCCGCTGAGCGTCAACGTCAACATAAAACAGGAGCTGGGCGGAGCGCCGACCGCCGACTTCGGGAACTGCAACAATCTCACGCACCTTCTCCGCGGAGGGCAGCCCGACTTCTCCGGACAGTTCATCAACGGACTAAACTGCCATCTGGTGCCGCCTTCCCAAAGAGAGATCCTGGATGGTAAGTTGTGTGTGTTTATTTTCGCGGAGGCAGCAAGCGGCGCACATTTTGTTTACAATATCCAATCAGCGTTGTGTTAGCTACCTCTTGGCCACTTTTCTGCACCAAATTATCCACATTAGGATATAAATACGCAAATAGATGACTTATATTATGGTAATATGAATACCAATAGCTGTACCTAAGGGGGTATGATTGAATATAAGATTTCACTTGGCTAGACAACACCTTGTACAAGTTGCATATTCACATCCTTTTGTGCCTCTAGCTAGTAAAGGTGTCCTGGGTGGCCTGGTGTTGGTAGTAGTGGAGGGTGTTCCTTGGGCTGCAGATTAGCCTCTGTAAACTGTGTGGCTGACAACAGCTGTGGACCTCTGCCAATGCTCTGGGGCCATCCACCCCATTCTCAGGCTAGACTCCCTATAAAGAAATCCACTGACCAAAATTAACACTCTGCTGAGCTTGAAAATAATATTGAATGTCAAATGTTTAAATTATGACCGTTCTAGGTGTAGCTATACCAGTCCTTAACATATGAGTTCTCAAAAATGAACCTTAGTATAATAGTGAGGCCACCACACTAGCAGATAGCTACAATGATCCTCGTTTTCTTTCTCTCATTTCTCAGTATCTCCATACATGGATGATCCCTGTCAGGACATGCTACCGCAGTCCTCCCTTCATCTCAAACACGAGGAGCTGTCTCCACCTCCTTACTCCAACGTCTACCCCAGTCCCCCGGTCTCGGAGTACGACCTTTCACCCCACCACTCTCCGGTTGCCCACCCAGTCATGGTCCAGCCTCAAATGCTCTGCACTGAGCCCACACAGGTATGATCACTTGGTTTTTCCTCCTTTTCCAAACAGTACTTTTAGCATTAAAGCACCCCTTTTCCAAGCAGAAAATAACATAAACATTAAAGCAGCATTGTGTGGCCTTTTTTCCAAACAGTATTTTAATAAATTTTAAGCTCCTTATAGCAGTATTGAGGTGGTTGACCAATTTTTTCGGATTTTTTCTCACAGGAAGCGATGATTCCCCAGCCCCAACAGCAGCAGTTCCCAGAGTTCCCGACCCCAGTCAACACCCCGGTCTCCAACGCCGGGTACGGCGGGATCAACACCATCCCTCTGGAGCACTACCCCACTCCGCTGTCTCCCGTGTACGAGAACAGCCTCCGGATGCAAAACTCCCACGTTGGGCAGTACTACACCAAGCCGTCTACTCTCCCCATCGAAGTCATGACAAGCTGCTCGCCAATTGACTCCTACAAGTACGACGGGAGTCCGATCCACATGACGATGTCATCGCAACCGACTTTCATCATCCCTCACATGAGACAGCAGCCGCCGCAGCTCATCAGCGCACAGGCCATCATGTCAAAGACCGAGGAACAGAGAAAGCCGTTTGTGTGCCTCTACCCGGGGTGCACCAAGCGCTACCTGAAGCTGTCTCACCTGCAGATGCACATCCGGAAGCACACGGGAGAGAAGCCGTACGTCTGCGACCACGAGGGTTGCGGGAAGAGGTTCTCGAGATCGGACCAGCTTCGCCGACACAGCAGGAAGCACACCGGAGTTCGCCCCTTCCAGTGTGACGTGTGCGAGAGGAAGTTCTCCCGCTCTGACCACCTCAAGACGCACATGCGCACGCACACCGGAGAGAAGCCCCATTCGTGCACCTGGCCGAACTGCCCCAAGCGTTTCGCAAGATCGGACGAGCTCGGTCGCCACCTCGCCATGCACCGAAGACACCTGGAAAAGAACCGATTCTGAGTAGGTCGCCGGCCGAAACGGCCCCCTGCGCGTCCACCGCTATGTGCTACCACCTTACCCCCACCCCCTCTGTCTCCCTCTCTCTGTGTGTGTGTGTGTGTGGTAGCACGGGAATGGCAGCAGCACCATCATCAAGCCCGAGATATACATCCATACAGCACTGGTATCGGTACAACTACAACGTAATACTTCTGTCGATAGCTCCTACGATTAACGTCCTAAGATAGACTTATCTCTAAGTAATCAGTACGTAACCTTACTCTAGTGTATCTTGTAAGCTTACTTGTAAAACGTAATGTAATTTACTTCTAGTATGTAATAGACCTACCTACTAAATAATGTTATGTATCTTATTTTTACCCGTATGTAGTCTTAAATAATTATTGTAATCTACTTTACTTTCATAGTTTGTAACTGTAGTCATTATACTTATTGGTAAACTTACATTTACTACCAGTTTTATACAGTATGATAACACTATGTACATTTGTAATTGTGTTGGTTTCTTTTATGTAATCATTATTATGCTCATACCATTTTTGAACAAAAATTGTTGAAACAAAAGGAGTGTGAACACGTGCTGCAACAAAGCGCAAGCTGGATAGCTAGCTATACTTGGTGAACGAACAGCGATATACTGTCACAGCTCAATGGCAATAACATTGGCCGGTCTCTTGGGTTTGAGTCAGAGTGTTACGTAAAGGGCTGTAAGCGCGAGAGAGAGAGAGTGCTGCACAGATGTGGTATGGGTGTAACCTGAGCTGCTTTGACTGGCCACGGTTGAATGGTGTCCTTTGGAGCAGTTTATATGACTAATTGGACGAGGTATGGGAGCCCGAGACAACTTGGCTCGTGTTACGGCCCTCTGTTGGCCTCTATTGAAGTAAAGCCTAGCCGTACATTGTAGTACATGCACACACCTTCCTACAGGCAGTGTTCTGTGGCAAATCACTTTTGAATGACCTCTTTATCTCGATTACTGTGCATACACGTAGTCACAAGGCCGCATTTACTGTTGTGGTTGACGAGTGCTCTAAATTAATCTCCATGCCTTATGCAGAGATGCTGAATGACGTATGACTGAGACGTGTAGTTAAAGGTGATACATACCCACCGTGTGTTGTCTACTATGGAACAGTGTCTGCCTCTTTTGCCACTACCAAACACTCTTTCTTTGTAAGTACACATTTTAGCGGCACATGAGAAGGGATATAAGTCCTTATATAGTGTGATTTGGTTAGCTCTATGAAGTTATTGGTAGGAGACAAACACTACGCAATGAGCTGCTGGAACCCGTTGGTGTAAAATGTAATTTTGACCAATATTGCCTGAGAAAGTTTGTATAAACACCTCAGTCAGTCGCTAGCCAGTCTCTTGGCTCATAAAGTGTAATCACATTGATGATGATGTCACCGTATTGTCACAACTGGACCTGCATATAATATACATGAGGTTGGTCAAACTTCATTAGTTTTAGTTGACTATAGAAGGCATAGTCAGACACCATCTGTAGATATAAAGGGAAAGGTCCGTGTGTTTAACCCACATACTATTCAAGAGGCTCTTTGTGGTCCTGGAGAACTGAGAATATAGGGGTTCCCTAGCACAGCCAGCAGTCTGCGATAGCGGTTTGTGGCTAGGGTCCGTTGGGGTATTGGGTTTTTATGCCCCAAGTGGGGTCTTTGGTTTGTGGGCCTAGCTAATAGACTTCAACTGGACAAACCTGTATGTGAAACAGGTTCAAACACCGTTCAAAGAATCCTAGAAACCAGTTCTTCACGAGTTTCAACTGAAACTAAGGGTCATGGCATTCCGTACTTATGCTATCATAGCATTTCTGTGGCTGTCAAATTAAACTGGCCCGGAGGTATAGAAGTAAATAGAGTGAGGGACAGATAGAAATATGAGCAAGAGAGAAAGAGTGCAAGCCCCCGTTTCTCACATTCAGAGTTCAGAATAAGTGAGTGAGTGAAAAAAGGGGTCTAGCTACTGTACGATAGTGATATATACGGCAGAATAAGTGAGCGAGTGAGAAAAAGGTCTACTGTATGTATGCAAGAAGCTCGATAGTGATACGGCAGGTAAAACAAACGGATGTCCGTGGGTGGCTTTTGTTTGGATTGGTTAACAGGCAGAATAGGGGTTTGAATAGTTTTTGTTCACTTGTGTTGAGATGTGCGGAGCACAAGAAGCACTTCACGTGTTCAAAACATCGTGTGCGTATGGGAAAAATTCCCACTCTTCTATACCTTACTGTATAACTTTGGCAGAAGGCAGGTTTGGGGATTTTTGTCAAACCGATGAGCCCGTTTTGTGGAATGTAAACTCAGCAGCTGTGCTGCATATAAAGTGTTTGTGGATTTAAACATAGTGTGTCCAACCACTATCGCCAAATGCAGCTCAATGCCAAAATTCCCTGTTGCTCAGTGTGGTGTGTGTGAGTGTGTGTGTGTGTGTGTGTGTGTGTGTGTGTGTGTGTGCGTGTGTGTGTGTGGTAGCTACACATGTGTATGAGTCATGTGTATGTGTGTGTTTGGTCACCTGCTCAAGTAAACCAATCACTGGTCTCGTCGTCACACTGTTACCTCAGCTTACTTGTGCCCACTCTCTTATATCATGCGCCATTTGATATCAACACCAATTAATCCCCTCTCCACGCACTGTTAGTATTACAAGTGACACGGTACATACTGTTATACCAGCAACATATGTCATATGTGACACACACACACACAGTACATGCTACTATAATACAGCCCTTGTATTGCAATGTGCACCAATCACGAGGTGTAAACGCAAGGCAAGTGCCTATCAAAGAGTTCAACAACATCTAAGAGAACGCTTTTCAAAATGCGCCTCGGTGAGATTAAAATAAAACTCTTCTCTTGGCAAAGAGTTTTTCTTAAACGGCCACCATGCCAGAAACTCGTCCGGCAGGGCTCAAATCTGCAATACAGTACACCACTAGTACGATATGCAACTCAATGTACGTATGTACAGAATGCCACGACATATTTATAATAGTGCATGGTTGAAAGTAGTGGAACTGATTGAAGGTTCTTGGAAATGTGTGGGATCCTTTTGCCGGTGCCCTGAAATTGACAACCACTGTGTGCATATATAGTGAGTCAGTGCACCTCAATCTGTGTATGGGATTTTCTTGCTCTGGCATCGCTAGCGTCTCAGTTAGTTCTAGAGTAATATGATCCACAGACAATGCACACTGAATGGACCATTGGCTTATTTCCACTGTATGGAGTCAATAGGCTGTCCCTGGACAGACAGACAGTGAGACGATAGAGAGAACAGAGCTATCAGGCAGATAAACATATGTACCTACGTAGGCACAGAATTTAGACCTAAGCTTGCAAACAGAGGTAATGGTTGCAGTGTATTGAAGTATAGTCCGGGATCCAGAGTGGCTGCCAAATGTGGTAATTGTGTGTCTGTGTGTGTGTTTTCCTGATACATACTGTAGGAAATCAGTCTTTGTGTACAGAGCGGACAGTTCAAGGGTGAGGGTCTTGCTTTGCATCACAGTCACGCAGCTACGTACGTACGTACATTATGTACAAGCATCCCTACACTTTTCCACGTGTGTGTGGTCTTTCAATCAGTTGGTGAAATGGCTGCATTATTCCGTGCGTAGGAAGCACCAACAATGAACATTCTCTTGTCCTCGTGTCGACATATAGTACGTAGCTATACATCTAACCATACTTACTCCGAAGCTACGTACAGTGTTTTCTAATGCATACGTGCGTAGTATGATAATCACTTATATTGATATTTTGGCAACTGCGTGTGTGTGTGCGGTGTAAGGGGCATCGGGTCAAATAGTGATAGTCGATATCACGTATGCATGACGAATGTGGAAGTTAAAGAGGAACCACACTCATAATGTGCGCTTGCAATCAAAATGATGAACACTTCCTCAGTCGATACAGCTTTACGTGCAACACATCTGATTGTCGACAACACATGCATACACACGTATACATCCTGTGTAGTCTGGATGGTACAGTCGTATATCCATCATATCTTCTGTCTTCCATCTATAGAATGTAAACTATGAATGATCCTAAGAGACTGTGGTTTACTTGTCACTAGGGTTGGGGTCGACTCCAGACAAAAGCTGGTTTTCCCTTCCTTCCCTTATTATATAGTCTGAGTAAGCACATACTAGATGTAGTATCAAGGACTCTGTAACATGCATTTAGTCGAATCCTCTGTGACTCGACGTACCTATTAGGATATCCAGATCATCGGGGATTGGAATATCTGTAACATGCACTCATGAACATAGTTATAGCACTTAGCCGGATCCTCAGCAACTTGACGTGTTAGGCTAGCAGACACCGTGAGATACTAGGGAACAGGTGTCAGACGTATGCTGACGTGAAGGTTTCCGTGTTCAGTGCGTGAGAGTTGCCTTGTATTACACGAGACCAGACACGGCAGCCACATGTTTCAGCCGGTTCTCAAACACCGACTTGTTGGTATCGAACAGTTGTGATCGCGTCTCTGATTCGCACCACAGTGATGTTGTACAGCAACTGAAAATGTTGAAAATCATGTACATGAACAGAGATACACGATACACGATGCAATTGACTTTGTTGCATGACACAAAGTTGCGAGCAACTTCAAATGTATGCAACAAACCAACTGGAAAACCGAAATATTACGTTTTCCACCACACTTTCATATAATATGAAAACTGAACTGAAAATGAAGTTTTAGGCACTTTCAATTGCCTGTGTACTATTCTCATTGACATTAGAGAAGAAAGGCTAGGGTATATAGTACAAACTCCCTATCATGGCTCCATAGATCTGTGATGCAAGTGCGTATACGCCATGCCCATGATGCTACCACTCTAAGTTATAAAACACAGCTAAACTAACGTACTCTCGAATTAGGTTACATCCTGTTTCTGTGAAAGGAAATACGTGTACACACTAACTTCTTTACCTGACTTGTCACATGCCTGGAATTTCAAACATTTCAGTTGCAGATGTGTATTTCTTACCGATATTATGTCTGTCAACCATCATGTTTTATGCCTTATACATTTTTGATGGAAAACTGTGACTTTATAAACTATCGCGCACTCCATGATTCGAAACTCTGTAATGTAAGAGTTGTCCATTGTGCCAAACACAAACTTATAAAGGTACGTAATAATATTATGTGTGTACAGCTACTATTGTAGAGGTGTAGTTAAGATCATGTATTGCCGTCCATTTTCAAGACAAATTATGTGTAATCCATGCACTTGCATGTGATAGCACTTGTCAAAAAGCCCAAAGTGACCATAAGCTCCATAGAAACATGAACGAGGCGGTCGACAAGACAGAGGCAACGCAAGCAAAGTATTTAACTATTATGAGCATCAAAGTTCATATTATCAACTGTGTACTCGCATAATGTATCACCAGTACCCAAACAACCCTCATATGTCGGTGCATGACTGAGGCTGGCTTACATGTGGCTACAGTATATGGCTACGCTGGAGTTTGGTGCAATCCCTCTACTTACATTCCTGTGGAGAGTACCGTAACATTGGCCCCTAATGGGTCTTTGATTGTTACCATATAGGGCTGCAGACACCTCTATTACGTACTGTACGTGTGTAGTAATACTGTGTCTGCTTTGTGGCTGAAACGAGGGGATAGTGATTTGTCCATTCCGTTGTTGAGTGAGAAGTGGCACAACAGGAAAGTTGAGATCACCAGTGCATACCACTTTATTATGTACGTAGTAGATAAATGCACCTGCTGCGTAGTTACGTAGGTTTATGGAAACCCTCAAATCTAGTCACAAATGAAAGTGTTTGGTGTCCTGTGTTTGGGCAAGGAAGAGGTGTTCTATCAGGGAGGTGCCCTTATTTCAGGTGTGTCCCTAGAGAGAGAGGTTCCATGCACCACAATACCACACAAAGATGTACATAATGGAGAGGATTACAGATGTGTAGCTACTGTACATATAGCTACGCAATAAACAAATGAAGTGTTCCACACGAGCAGAGGTTGTGACGTGGGCAGACACACACGTTACGAACAAGAAACTGCAGTCAGTGTCTGTCGCAACTAGTCTATCATTGTATTGCCAGACAAAGGTTCAGTCAAACTGCAGTCAGTGTCTGTCACAACTAGTGTATCATTGTATTGCCA